CTATGTTCACATTTTGTTTGTTTATGTTTTGACTGCATACGGTTGTACTTAGTAAAACAAGAAAATTACAGTATACAAACAGAGTAAACTTGTCCGTCTTCACTGTTCATCTTGCAGAGACATTATAGACACATCTTTACAGCCATTTACCGTTTTCATAAATAAACTCTAGCAGACATAATAATAATATGACTTTTGAAATCAGGTATTACAATGCTAATTCATAACTAAGACGATTTCGAATTCGTCACTGAATTCCCATGTTTTTTGGGACACCCTGTAACTAACTAGGCTTCGCGTCCATCTTCTATTTCAATTGTGAACATGTGCTCTTTGTTTACATTTTAAATAAAAACAAACCAAAAAATTTAACGGATTTAACAAAAAAATTCGTGGATTTTCAAAATTTCCAAAAAATCAAACTTTTTTAGAAGAAATTTTTTTGAAAATTCCATTTTCCATAAACCTCTCCTGGGATCCCACACAAAATTTGGGCCGTTTTGACGTTAGACAGACAAACAAACAGACAGACATGCAAAGTATATATATAATAGATTACACCCAAATGCTTTACTAAGATTCTTAAGTAGGAATTATTCTTATAGAATAAATTCCAAGGAAGACGACATTTGAGAAGTCGTCGTGTTCTATTGCTTCCAAAGTGATAATATGAAGACTGTGGTGAGTGGTGACTATACACGGCACTGAATTTCGTTTTATTTCCTTACTTAAAAAATGACGCAAGAATTTTATTCTTAATTATAACAACTAATATAAATATGTTTATGGGACTTTACGGGACTTTATTGGAAACAGACCAGTTGAAAATTAGATAATCATTTCTAGTCTCCACTTTTCACTGTAGTAATCTTAAAACATTTAAACTATGACTCTAGGAAAGAAGAGGAAACGTAAACATCTCAAATTTACATCAAATATGATCTAATTGGATCTTAATTACGTGTTGTTGTTGTGGATAATGGATATAAACTTTCTCATTTAGTAATTACCCATCATGATTTATTACTGTACAAAGTTAAAATTTTCTTCGGGGACAGTAAAAGATGGTTCTTATATAATCATTTACCTTCATTGAGATGAACAGTTTGTTGCACTCAAATTAATCAAATGATAATTATATATTTTAAGATGATGGTGGAAATATTTTTTGTAAAATTGGGAACTTATTTATTCTCAACCGGTGTGATGTAAATCCCTCTAAATATGTTCAAATATCAAGCAACCTCTTGCTATTTTTTTCTACGGAATCTCTTATTATATTTTATTACATAATTTCTTAGTTTGTCTGTTGTCACTGTAAATCAAAAGATATTCACAAGAGAAAAAAGCTAATTTAACCTCAGAATGTTTTCGTAGAATAAAACCCATTTAAAATTATGGAAATCAACAATAACAAGAAACTCATTTTAAAACTGGTTTGAGCCGGTTTGTTTCCCAGAGCAAAGGATTTGACCGCTATATATATCCAGCTGGCGATGACGGTCAAGCTGTTCAGCTCCTGGATCCCTGCATTCATTCTCAGGTTCATTTTAATCCTTTATCAAGTCAAAGTCATAGGTACCTTTAACTCAGGCATATATCGGGACTAAGATGAAAACTTCAGAATTGTGGACATCCAGATCAATGCTCTTTCTTCTGTGTTTGTTAATTTCAAGACTTATTTAATATCAAGTTTGTCTTAATAAAAGTTTGTATAACTCAACCAATCGAGTGGGTTTGGACAAACCAGAATAGCCAATCAGAAAAGCCAGAAAAATTTGAAATTTTGCGCGCCATTTAATAAGTGAACTTGCATTAGTCGGAAACTGGTAGCGAATATAAAAGAAAGAAAAAGAGCGGATTAAGAAGGAAATTATCAAAGTGTCCACATATTTATATTAAGCGATCGGGATTAAAGGTATCCAATATACCAATATTGGTTTTACCATTTTATTAATGTTTAGATAAAACTAGTTGCCCATGGCAGATTAAGGATCAAGGATGTATCCTCAAATTAAAAAAAAAATGCCCATATCTGATATCCAGATCAAGCGTTTCAAATTAACGATACTCCACACAAAAGTTTCAACCTTTGGTTTGACAGCCTGTCACTAACACACACCAGGACAGAGAACTTTCTAGATTTGTTGATAATTGTATTTTCTCTAGGTATATCCTTAACCTGGGAAAAGGACTGCCAAAGAAGGATCATGGTGGAACTGAACAATCCTGGATTCTGGGATCCCAGGGATCAAACTTTTTAATTCATCAGCATTGGAACCTTCAGGTTAACTTTTACTATGGGTCTGTTCGTGACGTTTATAGAAATGTGGATTGGACTTTTTTTCCTTAGGCTCTGTACATTGTTTAAGTTAGAGAGAAGAGAGTAGAGAGATGTTTTATGTTTTTGTTTATCTGAAATAAATAAGAAACTAAAGTGATGAACATTTGATTTTAATGTACTTTGGTAGGCGGATAAATCAATTTAATGAAAGACGACTTTTTCTTTCAACTTTGTTTAGAGCAATCTTGCATCTGCCTGGATGTATTGTTTATAATCAGTGCTTAGGATCCGGATCCAAGGGGTAAAATATCAACCAAATACTGCAAAAAAAAGATGTTACTGCTAAAACCCAAATCTGATTTTTTGAAAAAAGGGAGATGTTAAAAATTTCCTCATTTCTGAATGGTTCCAACAAGTTTTAGGATAAAAATAAAAAAAAAAAATTTGAAAATTATTTTTTTGTTTAAGAAATTCCGTAAATCTTAAAGGAATGACCTGGATCCGGGTCCATTTTTTTCCAGTGCGGATCCAGGATCCGGATCCGGATCCGCATCAAAATTAAATGAATCCTAAGCACTGTTTATAATCTTAATTTTTTTTAAAGATTTCTGTTTAAAGTTAACCCAGTAAATGTTAAGGTTGACCCCTGCTTGGGTTTGACCAGCCAAGCGAGCGGGCTGAACCCTGCTGACATGCTGCTAAACAAGTTTAAGAATATGAACCTCAACCTAGCTCTCAACACAATAATCTGCCCAACACAAGGTCAAATATTAATTCAACCCTTTCCCTTCATTTTGCTCTGCGCTGAGCAGTAAACTCTCGCCAGTAACAAAAGTTTTCTAAATCATATATAATCGCAACTAGGGATCGTATTCATTTTTTTTGAAAATTTATCGTTTCGTTTCAAAAACGACGAAGAAAATGTGTGAAACGAAACGGTCACTTTTAAAAAGTATCGTTTTTGAAAAAGATCGTTTTAAGAACTATTTTTTTTTTAAATAATCGTTGTTGGTTTTTTTTCGGCTCTAAACGTGTGGTTTGTTTCAATAATGAAAAACTATCGTTTTTTTTTCGATCGTCTTTGTTAACGATTAATAGCCCCAATTGCAAACTGATATTTCAAACTATGAATTCTACAAGATCTAATTGTAAAGAAATTAAATTATTTGTATTTCCAAATGGTTTTAAATCAAACATTGATTTAAGGTCAATTTGGGGATAAGTAATAATTGAAATTAATTGGACTCAATACATTTTCATGTCATAGTTGTTTTAATATAAGTCGTCTTCCTCCTATCCTAAAAGTCGGAGATTACACGATTTGTATTGAATATCTCTGAGAAAATGGAAAATATTATTGTTGTATTTTTTTATAAATTGTTACTGGTTTAAGTTTTTTGTCTGTTATTTTTATGTTGCCCTCAAGTCTCAATCACCTTGATTTTTTTATTTTTTAAATATTGCCCTCCATTAATATTTAAAAGAAAAATTCTTTAGCTAAAATTATTTAAAATGTAGTTTAATCACATATTCTGATTGAAAAACTTTGCATTTAACCTCCCCAAACTATTAACTAGTTATTAACTTCACGCAATGCAAATAGTAAATTTTAAATTAAATTAAAGAATAATTAACGAGATTCACAGGGAAACTCATTCTTCAAATAGTTTAAATGATACTTCACTTGCAACCATTTCCTTTGATAAAAATCTCAAGATTTTGCAGAATTTTCTGTATTATTTGGCGGATTTCCAAATTCCAACATCTATCTAAATTTTTTTTTTTTTTTAGTACACAACTACATTGATTGAAAATTCTATTCTTCGGTATGAAATTTGAAAATTTAGGAGTCAAATATTTTTGAGTTCTATTTAAAATAAATTTAAAATTACCAAGGGTGGTCTCAAATAAAATGTAAAATACATTTGTGAAACCATATGGGGGTTCTTGGTATTTTTATTTTTATGAATAAATAAATAATTTGAAATTCTATTTCAGAGAGAAATCTGTCCCACGTGGCAGCCATCTTGGAATCTGTAGAAGCAGCGAACACAAGAACCGGTTCCTTAATCTCCAACAGGTATACCATTTTGAAGTCCAGGTAGCCATTTTGAATGCATTAAACCATTAATTATATCGTGCGTTTTAACATTTTGAATTTATTTTTATATCATTAATTTAATCATAAATAAGTCAGCGAAGTCTATTTTATGTTGACTGGCCTTCTTTCTTCAAATCACAATTAATTTGCCCCTTATTTCTTCTGTTATCTTGACTTAAGTTCTATTCATAAATAAATTTATGGGACTAAAACTTGTTTCTATATTTCTATAATTTTATTGCATAACTCTTTTCTATTATTTAGTGTCGATCTGGTGGCCTCCTGGTGGGTAGATGTCTTCAAATGCATTTCTTTATGGAACTCTAATCAGATAGAAGCCGCCACTGCTTTGTATCCTGAGATTGACAACCTCCCTGTTCTCTATCAGGTAGATTTAGAAAAAAATGGATGTATTAAAAAATTGTATTTTTAATTTCCAATTTTTTATTTTTTATTTATAAGGGGCCAAAAATAAAACCAACCATTTGTAAAGCCATTTTTGACCAAAAATATAGCTGTCAGCTGGTACAACAATTCCAAACATATGCCTTTATGTAGTAGACATACTTGTTGCTGAGGAGATCTTATGGAGATCTACGGATTAATTTTGATGATGGTCACACCCTACAAATAATACCTGAATTGAGAGATCAAGCATTTATCCTTGAATTCAAAAGTGCTCAAATTGGATATCGAGATCAAGCGTTCAAGATTAGCAATATCCACTCATTGGTTTCGATCTCAGGTTTCTACAGCAACCACGTGAGAGAAATGAATTATAATTAAACCTCAGATAGAATTTAAAGGGAAAGACTGGCTAGGTAACATATTTGAACCAAGAGTGCAGTATTATTGAGTTAGATATTTGGATTCATTTGATACCTTTGAGACGTTTTTACGGTTTATAATTTCTAAGAAAGGGCTTGATTTCGTTTGTAAATTTTCACCAGAAGGAATTGTCCGCAGAAGGAACGTTTTAACAATTATTTGATAACACTGATGAGTTATGAAACATAAAGTATGATCTAGGCAGCTTCCCTTAAACTGATTTGAGTTGATTTAACAAATAGGTTTTCTTTGGGAGATGACGACATTCATTTCCATCTAACCAAACTTTGGTTGTATAGAGATATTCACCGAGAAGTATGAAAAAGAACAGCGGGGGGAGGTATAGCAGAAGTAGGATATACACCAGACGCCAGTCTGGCGCTAGATAGATAGATGGATAGATGGATAAATAGATAGACAAAGATGGACAAAGTCAGACAAATTTAGACAGGACAGACATGCGGATATACATGGATAGACAGGACTGAACTGGTTAGACACGGATACAGACATGTATATAGACATGGATAGACATAAACAGACATGAACAGACATGAACAGACATGAATACATGAACAGGCATGAACAGACATAAACAGACATAAACAGACATGAACAGACATGAATAGACATGAAGAGACATGGATAAACATGGATAAACATGGATTAACATGGATAGACATGGATAGACGAGACATGGATAGACATGAAGAGACATGGATAGACAGGGATAAACGTGGATAAACATGGATAGACATGGATGAACATGGATAAACATGGATTTACATGGATAGACATGGATAGACGAGACATGGATAGACATAAAGAGACATGGATAGACATGGATAAACATGGATAGACATGGATAGACATGGATAGACATGGATAGACATAGATAGACATAGATAAACATAGATAGACATGGATAGACATGGATAAACGCAGACAGACATGGATAGACATGGATAAACATTGGATTAACATGGATAGACATGGATAGACATGGATAAACGCAGACAGACATTGATTGACATGGATAGACATGAAGATAGACATGCAGATAGACATGAGAAGAGACATGCATGGACATAGACTTATGTGTTTAAAAATAGAAATAGATTTAGATAGGGATGGATAAAAATGAGTATATCTTTTGTTTGTTAATTTACTTATTAGTTTTTATTCGTTCCTTCGTTTCGATCGTTTCTTCATTTTTTTGTTGGTTATTGTGCTCTAAAGTACATTCTATGTACTCCGTTGTACTCTAAATGTGTGCTGCATTTATAACTCTATAAATGTGTACTGCATTTTTATAGTATTTTATAGTATATCTGTTAGGAATGTGAGAATCCAGCATATGTAGCGCTGCTTGCTGCTCATACCACCCTCAGGACAGTTTTAGGTAACTTTACCCCTTTTTCATAGAGTAATAAAAATATTTAATTTTTATATTATTTGCATAGAATTAGAATTTGTTCTATCCCATAGATAGAAATAATGTTTATGTTTAAATGTGAAAATATCAAAACAAATAAAAAATGCATGCATTAAACCGACATATTTTATTAGTTGTGTCGATTCTTATGATCTTGCGTAATATAAAGAAATCCTTGAATTTACGTAATTTGTTAGACATTTAATTCCACTGTTTTTACTGATTAATCGATCATATAACTATTTGATCGATTATAAAACTAATTTATCAATTACAAAATTAATTGATCAATTAGAAAACTAATTGATCAATTACAAAATTAAATGATCAATTAGAAAACCAATTGACATATTAAAAAACTAATTGATCAAATATAAAACCAATTGATCAATTACAAAATTAATTGATCAATTAGAAAGTTAATTGATCAATTAGAAAACCAATTGATAAATTAGAAAACTAATAGATCAAATATAAAACTTATAGATGAAATATAAAACTAATTGACCAAATATAAAACTGATTGATTTAATCCAGTAGGAGAATATTTAACTGGTGAATCTATGTGTAATGATACTACTGAGTTTCTAGAAGAGGCTGTCAGGTATTAATTCTATTTTATCATTTAAAATCATATCTTCAATATTTTCGCTGATTTTCGGGCCCGAGAAAAAGGGACAAAGAAAGTATTATGAAGTTATAGTTCTATTCATAGGATATGGATAAAAAAAATCATACAAAACTTGCAAAGAAAATTTCCTCTCATACCACAAATCTGAATTGTTAAAAATGAGAGATTATTAAAAATGTCCAAATCTCTGAATTGTTCATCAAGTTTTAGCATAAAAATTAGCGAAAAAAAGGTAGAAAAAGTATTTAAAAATCTATCGTTTTTAATTTTAGAAAACGAATAAATATCGTTTTTGAAAACGATCGTTTTTATAAAAATAATCAGCGATTGGTTTTGTACGATTGTTTTAAAAAACATTATTTTTGAAAAAACGGTCGTTTTTGAAATTTCTTTTCGTTGATAAATATGTTAACGATCGTTAACGAAACGACGAGCTTTACAAAAACTGTCTTTTTTGAAAAAAAATTACACGCAGCGCACCTTTGTCGAATGTCGTGTTATTTGAGGGTAAACAGTTGTGGGGGAGCTAAAACTTCTTGATATTTTCTTTAAAACTGCTCTGTGCTCAATGATAAGTACCGATGCCCTTCAGGGCGGTTTCCTTTCTTCGTTTACGATAGTTAATGAAGGGACGTCGTTGCCGATTGTTAACGAAAGGACGTCGTTAAAGATCGTCAACGAAACGGCGAGGTTTATAAAAACGATCATATTGCAAAACGAACTTTTTAAAAAACGATCGGTTTTAGAAAGTATCGTTTCGTTTTTGTTTTTTTTTGTCGTCGTTTTTATAACAAAACTATCGTTTTTTTTAAATGAAAACGTTAATATTCCTAAATGGATCCGGGCCCTTTTTTAGATCGGCGCCAGGATAGTATCAAAATGAAGTAGATCCTGAGCACTGTTTTTTTATTTATAATTTTCATAAAGCTCGCCCCCCCCCCCTTAAAGATTCATGAAATACTTTTCCTAAAATTCGTTGGAAATTTATTTCCGATTTCTAGTTTTTAAATATTTTCTAGATTTTATTTGGATCGTGGAGAGAAAACAGACACCACAAGTCAGGTAGGATAATTTAGTTTTAAAGAGACTGATGGCAAGTTTATAATAGTTTTTCCTCACCAGTTTTTAGTCAATTTTCTTCAAACATGGTTTCACACAAAAAACTATTAAAATTTGCTTGCCATCCCTCTTCTTCTAAATTGTTGATGTTAAGGGTTTGACAGGGGGTGTAACCGACAAATAACTTTTCATGTGGATCAGATTTTTCAATATTTAACTTATTAATCAACCTTTAATTATATCATAACTTTAAACTTGATCAATGAGAGATCTGTCAAACTGTTGGCTAGAATTGGTTTTGAATCAATTTCTTACAAGTTTCTACCTCCATTATTCCATAATTCCATATTTCAGTTTAGGCTTCTTGAAAAAATCTAATCCTTATCAACATTTCAATTATTAAGATTATTCTAACACCCCCTGTCAAGATTAGCAAACACTCCCTTTAAAGCAGTGCTAAGCAGATTTCTACTCAGTTTATGGTTGAATGATACTTTGCAGACTTGAGGCATAGTTGATATTTGCCTTCAGACGTTGTTCCCACAATAAACAGGGTTTATTGTGCACACATTTTAT